TTCCCCCCCCCGCCCCCCCTCTTTCAAGTTTGGCTTTGGACCAAAAACGACATCGCAATTGCACCTTGTATTATCATACACCCCCCAGATCGAGACAACCAGACACTACTATTTTCCCCTCCAACAAAGAATTTCTTTATGGACGCTCCCGAAAACGTCGGTTGGAGTCTGGTTCGAACCTGGGACCTCTGAGCAACTACTCCTTCTCTTAGTATCACAGCAGACCGTTGCATCACTCGCAAAAATGACGTCGCAAGTTCGGGAACAACACACACTAACTTATCTATGTGCAGAGGAACAGGGCATTGAGCTCCAAATTGCGAAGGAGACTCAGGCTACAGGGTGGTAAGTACAACTCAAACATTTGGTGTGCACCGGCAGGCTTACACACACATAGGAAGATCAACAAGTCGCCCTCCACAATAGAGGAGAAGGACATGCTCAAGAAGCTCCTCACGACGCCCCCGGTCAAGAAGATTGACCTGCACTTCCCGTTGGGCCTGGAGGTCACGGCCCGGAACCTCAAGGGCGTCACCATCAAGGACGCCCTTGATGCCATCCACAAGCAGTTCAAGAAGAGGGTAAGTAGAGTACCTAAGAATCTAGCAGTTTATATATGACGCTAATATGGCATGCGTAGGCGGATGACGAGCTCGAGCTACCGTACCTGAAGGGATTTGAATGGGATAAGGAGGAGTCGTGGACGCGGTTAATTGTGCATTTGCGGAAGGATGCCGGGCAGGCCCCGACGACTGGCAAGAAGAAGAAGGGCAAGGAGTAGGAGCATAATAAGAAATAGAGTAATATATGATGTCCTTTTTTATATATATTTCACACCACGATGATCTCGGCCTCTCTGGTGTCCATGTTCGTGACCTTCTGTGTAATAAGAGGCCTTGGGTTGAGGCAGAGAGTGAACCTGATGGTGTAGGTGCTGCTTAAGAATACAGCTAAGGTAATCACCATCATGGCGCTTCGAAGAACCCTCCCACGTTCGGAGGTCACTTAGAAAACCACCTAACCAAGTGGCTAGGCTAGAAACGGATCAAGGAAGTCACCACTTTAGCGCTGGTATTAAGGGCGAGAAACACATGTTTCAAACCTCCACGGCCAGCTTCGTGCTGTTCTCGCTTACAAAAGGCCCCCGAACAAATGGCTCTGTTCCCGTTCCTTTGGCCTGTTTGGAAATGAAGTATCAGTCCCTATACGTATTAAGCGCCATTTGATTCCAGTGCTTCCTACAAAACTCCGAATGAATTCAATCCTTTTGCTGCAGATTCACCCGCTTGACTTTTCTGAGAGCGCCATTACATTTAATTTATCTTAATATAAGTTAGGTAGTCTCTCAGCAGTCCAATTTCGCTTCGTAATGCTCATCAACCCTTACATGGTGTCGGTGGAAACCCCCCTCATTTCATCAAGTTCACCAAAGCGTAAACTGAAATGTACTATTATTGGGAGTGTATGGCCACAAGACCACCTCAGATGTTATATTCGAGCGGTCCATGGTCGAGCGGCCTCTGAACGAAGAGATCATGGACGACCAGATTGCCAACGAGCTACCGCAGGATGAGCACTCCCTCAACGAGTGACCCACAAACGAGCAACCAGAAACGACCTAGGAGCAGCTTAGCCCAGTCAAGGCATACCTAAATAATAGTGAGATCAAGAATCACTCCCTCACTGGCTCAGCGAACGGGATGGAGTCTTAGGGAGACGACCTCGAAGAGCCCATAACAAATGCGCCCATCACAAACACTAAAAGTCAATGGATCTCATGGAATCGTGCCGAACTGCCTCGGGATTTTCTGGATGGAAATTCATGGAATCCTGCCGAAGGGGCCGGATCACATGCTTCGCTCGGACCCTTCCAGGTTTTAAGAACAACTTTTCTTGTCACCTGCTGTTATTTTAAACCCGGCCAACCTTGGGGTCACCAAATTCACCATATCAATCGGCCAAACATTGTTCAGAGTGCCAAAATGGAATGTTGCCTGGGAAGGACCAGGAATGTCACCTGCATGCGGGGGCCTAACGCCTTGCATGTGGACAACAACGCCGGTAGCTTTCTGTGGGGCCTTGGAGACTGCATGTTAGTACACCAGGTAAAAACCGTCCTCTGATGTCTATGGGTATGACACAACTGGAGGCTGTTGTGTCTGATTTGCATGTAAAAAA